AAAATCCCTAACTAAACTAATTAAGAAAAATTAACTAATTTAAAAAACTATATTTAATTCAATTGAATTTAAAAATCTTAAACAAAATTGATATTCTAAAAAATCTATGACATATTTTTTTGTATTTTTATTATAAGGGATAACTATAGAAATCTAAACTAATATTGTTGTCAAATATTTTTACTATAATTTGGAGATAAGGCTAACCAAACTATAAAAAAACAAAATAAAGCACCCTTGTGGAAATTAAAATTCTATGCTATTACAGAGCTTTTGGGAATGGAGAATACAAATTTACAAATGGGGATGGATCGAATCGTCAATGCGATTAAAAAGTCTAAATAAGCAATCAATACGACCAAATTGAATCGACCAATTAATTAAAACTACAACAATCTATAAAATTAATTAACAAAGTAAAAATATAGAAATAAAATTCTTGGTATTTTATTTGTGAAATTTTTTGAAGAGAAAATAAAAACCTATTCTAGAGGAGAAAATAATTGATTACAAACAAATTAAATTAAATCAAATATATATATATATATATATATATATCTTTTGGTATTTTTTATCATAAAGAATTTAAACAAAACAATTTAAAACTAAATAAAAAGTTAATTAATAAAATTATTCATAAAAAATCCCTAACTAAACTAATTAAGAAAAATTAACTAATTTAAAAAACTATATTTAATTCAATTAAATTTAAAAATATTAAACAAAATTGATATTCTAAAAAATCTAATGACATATTTTTTTGTATTTTTATTATAAGAGATAACTATAGAAATCTAAACTAATATTGTTGTCAAATATTTTTACTAGAATTTGGAGATAAGGCTAACAAAACTAAAAAACAAAAAACAAAATAAAGCAAAATAAAGCACCCCAGCAAGGATTGAACTTGAGTTCTCTATGCATTGCCAACTGAATTGTTATACTTATTCGTTATAACTATGGTTTAATTAAAACAAAAAGGAAAAAAGGATAGTGGATTGGGCCAGCAGCCCAATGGGCTGACCTAGTTGTCATTGAATAAATGAAGTGAAATTGGTAACCCTAATATATTTAGGCGCCACGGTAATGTGTCATAGGGAAGGCAAATTCACAGATTAAATTATGATTGTTATTGGGAAGGTACAAGGATTAAACATTATTATTATTGTTACTTGTTCTTGCTTTACCGTGAAAAATAAGAACATGACTCTCTCTTCCCAACGAAAACTTCATCTCTCTCTCACGATATCCCCCTGCTTTGTCTCTTGTGTCTTCCCATTAGTAGGTTCCAACAAAACACTCTTCTCAGGTGTTATGGCTCCTTTGTTCTCGGCATCAAGTATCATACTATGACCTATCCTGTTTTTGACACTACAACAGGGCTCCATAATCTCAAGTTTTGCAACAATATTAGCAAGGGAACCCTTTGCGATACTATTTAGGTAAACCATTAGCATTTTTCCTATGAGTTGAGTAACGTTTTCAGCAATGTTGTGACCTTCTGTGGTGGTTTAGGATTTGACGGAAACAACTTTGCATGGAACGGGAGAAGGGGAGGAGATCATGGTGGAGATGGGACGATGGGGGTTTGCGAATCAGAGGGATGTGAGTGTATTTTTTAATTTACTGTATAATTTTTCTGGATTTTATTGTACTGATTTTGAATTTTTTTTATCTGTCTTTTTCTTTCTCACAGTAACAACAACAGGTTACGACAACAGCACAACAAACAATTATTTGAACACGTGCGATTGGGAGCAGAAAATTACCTGTGGTGAGGAGGTTTCGCGAGTTGTCCCTTGCTGAATTGGTTGAGTTGTTGTTGGAGATTTGCTGATTGCGGTCGATTTTGGGTTAAGATTGGATTTGAAAGTTGCGGTTTATGATTACAGTGAAGTTTTACATGGAAGTCCCTTCTGTAAACTTTCTCTCTTTCTCTCTTTAATTTCTGAAGGGTTGTGTGTTAGAGAAATGATGAATATTTTCTAGGGTTTTTGTCTTTGTGCAACTTTCTGTATTTTGTGAATAATTGTTTTTGTTGCTTGTTGTGATTTCTTTGGAATAACAAAACTGTTCTGTTCTTTTTTCTCTTCTGATGGATAGTTGATCTCCCTTTTGTTATGTTATCTGTTTCGCTTATATCAGTAAGGGAATGGAACTTTTGGAGGGAAAAGAAATTGGGTTTGAACACTTGAGATATGCTGTTGTTACAACTTTTTGATATAACTTTTGTATTGCCTATTTGTGTGCAACCTTGGCTGGCTTATTGACTGGTTTTGATGCATATTTTTGGACTGTTTTGGTATAACTTCTACAGGGTCGTAATGAAATTTGTTTTTGACAGTATTTTGGCCTCTTGTGTTTGTCTCTTTTTACAGTAATGCACATTGGTTTCTTTTTTTGATAGTATTTTGTTTTCTTTGTGAACCAAAAATATATTTTTGTGATTTGCAATGAAGACATTTTTGGGCCAATGATATAAAACTAATTAGCAAAGATAAATGAGGCCTTTGTTGGGCTTTGACAAATGATGAATGCCCTCCTAACTTTCTTATTCCAAACATAACCCTCGTGATGAGAAATTTCTTGAAAATTTTTGATTTCATGCTTAATGTTTCATGTTGCTAACACTTTTTTCTTCTTTTCTTTCATGTGATGAGTGTTGACTTGGAGGTGAAGAAGACGAGGCAAGGTTGAAGATTGATGTTAGGTTCAAAGCAACATGAAGAATTGAAAATTAAAAGGCATGGTTGGAAACCAAATGAAGTATGAAGGATTTTAGAAGCAAGTTAGCATATGCTTAGGGAGGACTTTAGGTTTCCATGTACAAAAAAATAACTTGTGTAATTTTCTTGTAATTTATAATTTGAAACTCGGAAAACATGAATTGAATTTGTATTTTTGTAAACTTGAATTAAATTGAATGAATATGAAATCTTGAGTGATTTTGTGAAGAGAACTTCGAATCAAAATGGATCTTAAACTCTTGATGTCTTGAGTTTGCATCATGAAATGATGAACTTTGAATGATGAATGCACATGAACATTTGAGCGCCTTGATTCTTGAATGAGCCTTCGAATTCATAATGGACTTGAACTTTGTATCTTGACTTCTAAGTAATTCAATCATATTATTTTCTATCCTTTAATCACAAATCAAATCTTTGAATAAAGTGAATGTCCTATGAGCTTAAACATCTCCAACACCGATACAATAATCATCATTGTTTCAACACCAGTGATTCACAATGCCAGCATCAAAATGATTAATGAATTTTCAAACTCAAACTTCCTGTTTTCATGAACTATCCCGACATAAGAATCAATTTTTTTGAGAAAATGATTACAACATGAACAAAACCTAGAAGTTAAGAGCATTCAGAATCAAGCAAATGACCTATGATGATTCGATAACTTTCAAGGTCTTCTAAACATAATTTTCCTTTGATCCTTGAAGAGAATTTGTAGATGACATCACTTATGATAATGTGCAAGAATAATCGCCTCAAGATCTTGAAAATTGTTGAAATTACAATTCTTGGAAGTCAGGTAACAGTTATTTTTAGATTAGGTCAAAAATCCAGAAAGTGACCTCTAAAGTATTCGAATTTTGATGATCTTTCACACATAATCGGCTCTTGACTTGTAAAGAGAAATTGGAGATGATGTTAAGGAGAATCATATGCAAAAAGAACCACTTAAAAATATCGAATAATGAAGAAGTTACAATTGTTTGAACTTAATCTTGGACATGCCGACTTTTGGGTCAACATAGTTGATTTTCAGTCATCTGAACCATTGACCGAGCAAACTTGGGATACGAAGCTTGAAACTTGGCACGAGCATCCTTGATATTACGTGAAGAACCATGAAGACCATTTGAAACTTTGGAAACTTAATTTTGCTCGAGAAATACCAAACCCTAGTTACTGACTCAATGCCTAGGAAGAGAATCTGTCTGATCAAACCCTAAGCCATTTTGAATATTTGAGAAACCCTAGGATATCATCTTATATGAAAAATGGGAGGGCAAATTTTGGGGTACAACAATATGTAATTAAATATAATTTAAGGAGTAAAAATAAGAGAAAATTAAATATGTGTAAGAGAAAATTATACACTTGTCATATTTTCATTGGAAAATAGTAATAATCACACCTAAAGAATTATATATAAGTTTTGTCCTTTTTTGAATAAGTATTTATCAATAATAATTCAATAAAAAAGACATTAAATTAAATTCAATAAAAAACAAATATTAAATTAAATTTAATAAAAACATGATTCCATTTGAATCAACAACGAACAACCCTAACATGCCGCTGTCTCTTGTCGTCCCCTCTGCCACATCGTCTCCCATCACAACATTGAACTTTCTCACTGTCATAACAACTAGCTCTTAGGAAGACTTGTTATGGTGTTGTCTCGAGGTTGTGTCATCTCTTCGGTACGCCGCCTCGTTGTAAGGTAAGAAAAGAGACAACATACGATATTTTGTGGTAAATAAAAGGTTTTTTATTTTTCAAAGTTAACTTCATATAATCTGAACTGTTAAAACTTTAATTCACTTTAATTCCCACGCGACAGAACGTATCATTTTTCTATAAAATATTTAATTTTATAGAAATTATAAAGGAACAACTTTTCTACCCATAAAAAAAATTGGATAGTATACCTTTTCATTAATCACATAATAGTATTCAATTTTATCTTATTTAATTATTTTATTAAATAATTTAATTTTTGATAGTTTCCAAAATATTTTATTTTAAGGATAACTCTACTTAACTTTTTGGGTCGGTTACATAAGAATTCAGCAAATTATAAAGCTGCAATAAAGAGTTGGACTAAATGCAGGGGATTCGGACTCGTATAGTGGTGGTTTTCATCCAAACCTAATTGAATTTAAAATTTGTAACGTTATTTAGAAGAAAAAGGGATTTTGGTACAAACCACTCTTTCATTCACTCACTTCCCCATCACCATCATAGAAGAAAAAGATGGAGCCAAAGTATCATGGATTTAGCAAGAATTCAGGACCCGCTAAACGTTTTCAATCTAAACCCGCTTTTGGTTTCAACGATCCTTCTTCTTCTTCTTCTCCCATCACAACTCCAATTCCACCTTCAACACCCAGGTACGCTAATTTTCTTTCTTTTCTCATCTCAAATTCAATTTAAACCCTAAACGAACCGTTTCTTGTTTTGTTTTTTCTGTTCAACTGTTATTAGAACTTCGATCATCAAGACTATTACCCTAATTAGGGTTCGCATAACGTTATGTTATAGCGAAAATACGATTCAATGTTGGTTTTTTATATATGAAAATAACATGTTAAACATTTTCTTCTCATAGTTTAGCTTGATAATATTTCATTTTGAGTTCATTTTAATTTTTTTTTTTCCAGCTCCATTGAATCTCCTGGTTGGAGTGATGGTCAGAATTTGTTATATAAAGATTTGGGTGCCCAACCTCCTGAAAGGACCACTTCTGTTGCAAAATTTATTGCTTCGCGTGATTCAAAGTCTGCTATTACAGCCCGAGTCTATAGATCTCCACTCCTAGAAAGCTCCCGATCTCCTCCTATATCATACGCGGATATTGATGATTTGGAGAATCCGAATCAAACTGTTATAAAAAATAAGTAAGAGAGTATAGTCTTTAATACTCCCTCCGTCTCATAATAAGTGGTTCATTTGAGTTTTGTGCGGTTCTTAAGAAAATAATTAGATGTGTTAATTTTAATGATAAAATTAGTATCATTTACTAAAACGCCCTTATTTATTATAGTTAGTAAAGTGGTTGAAAAGCGTGGAAGCTAATAAATAGGGGTATTATAGTGGAAAAAATAATAAATGTTGTATTGATATTCTAAAGAGACATTTATTTTGAGACATAGAAAAAATGTAAATGAGACACTTATCACGAGATGGAGGGAGTAATATATTATTTTTCAATTAAATTTATTATGGATGAGACCTTTGCATTGACGTTTCCTTTTTTGATTGAAATATCATATATTATTTCTCAAATTAATATCATGAACATTTTTCAATGATAGATTTGTTGTGATAGTCTGGCCTAGGAAAGTCATTTTAGTTTCGGCATTCTTCTGTTTAATTCATTTGGGCTACTAGTGTTTTATATTTACTGTGAAATGTCTTGCCCGGTGGCATTATCTTCTTTTTTCCACTTATTTGTTTGAGGCCTTACTTTGTGTTTTTCTGCTTATTGCTGTAGCCGCCCAAATCTGCATATGGAGGGGCAAGGCCACTTACTTCCTCTAAAATCACAATCACCTCCTTTGGTACCCTTGAATCATCATTCTGTTCAGCAGTAAGTTTTAGATTATACGCTACACTACTCTTTCCCTCCTTCTTTCAATGCATCTCTACTGGTTAGGCATCTCTATGTGCATTCAGGAATCAGAAAATTAAAACTGAAGTTTTTCTTAAATCATCATATAGGTTAAATTATGAAATGTTGCATTTTGATCTATAAAATTATTCGTACTTCACCGAAATGTCTTTTGCATGTATGAAATTCCCTGTTCTAGTTTCAACACCAGTAGTTGGCTGGAATCTGGCTGTATGATTGCTACTCTTGTTGTGATAAGGCAGTGCTTTCATGCTTTGGTCAGTTGGACAACTGAATGCTTTGAAATAGGTAATTTATGGGCTCTACAGTTTTTGTGTATGTTATAGTCTCAATTCTTCGGCCACATGCCACAATGAAGTCCATCATTAATATAATTTCTTCCGAAGAATCAGCTCATCAATATTTAGAAATCGAAGGAGTAGGATATCTCATGTGTTGTAAGCTTAGAATGCAGTATGCACAAGCATTGGGGGTTAGGGTTACATTACATTATTCTTCTATGTTGTCGGCTTAAGGTTGTGTCAAGTAATGCTCATGCACAATTTTATTGTTGCTGTTATTGTGGTCGGGATTGTTTGCTTTCATCTTAGCTTTGCTTGCACTAATTAATGTTGTATTTATTTTTTATTTCTAAAATTCCTATGGTGACTGTTGATCTATGTAGTCAACCATACTACTGGGGCAAGGTTTTGTTATTATCTCTTGCAATGCCGAAATTTGATACAGTTTGCTTAGATTAAGCTATTTTTGTTACACAGGCCTGCTTTAACTCGCAGTACATTGGATGGACAGGCCAGTCTATCTGTCAATTATCCTAACTTTTCGGTCCGTCCAGTCCAGTCTTCTGTCACTCCATATTTTGATTCTCAGAATCCTCAGCCTAGTTTTACAAAAGAACTTAATAATCAAGGTTCAAAGAGAACTAGGTCCCCTCCTTCATCATCTACAAACATACACGAGGATCTTAACGATGCTCGGAAGGACTTTAGAAGGTAATGCCATTGATTTTTCCCTAGTCTATCCTTCAATGTAGTTATATTGTAATTACTTATGTGAAGTTTATCTGATAAAATTGGATCGGGCCCTTATTATTATTAGTAGTAATATTAGAATAAACAGTTTTGAGTAGAGGTTTGACAGAAGTATGTTAGTGATTAGGATTCAGGATTTAGTTTGTCCAGTCCTTTTTTGCCATGCTCTTTGGACTTGGCAGCGGGGGTTAGAGATCCCATATGTTACCTTTATGGGGGAAAAGGTAGTTGAAGGAGAGGTGTGAGTTTCTGCTTAAAGTTGTGGAAAGGAGCATTATTATGGGATATTTAAGATTCTGTTTTCTGCAATACATTTTGTTTCATCAATATTTTCTATTTCATTTTTTTCTGGTCTACTTTGAATCAGATCTTAAAGAAGACCGACTCACCTGTTATTTCTAGGATACAACTAAACAAATGTGGACATCCCACTCCAAAGATATGCATGGTAGAATTACCTACTAATCAAAATAGTTGGAAAATGCTCCAAATAATAAACATTTGGTTACATCTTGGATTGCTTTCTGTTTGTGGAGGTCTTATCTTCAGAGATTTTTCCCCCAAAACAGTTTTTTGTACTAGATGTGAATGTGAAAGTAGAAAGAGATTTATAATTTAAAAGTTCTTCTGAAGGCTAATAAGTCGTGACCACATATTTGAAAGAGTTTCTTATTAGTTATCAATAAACTGTTTGCTTGAAATACTCCAGCAGAAGTTACATGTATCAAATGATGATGATTATGTTTTAGATGCTTAGTCTGTAGTGGAATGTAATGTCTTGGCTGTTTGTGTATTATTCTGAAGTTAACAGGGTTAATGTGGAAAAATAATGGAATGGGAAAAATAAAATTTGAAATTGTAACATTGTCCACGCTTCACATATAACAAGATACATAAAGCTTAAAGAAAAAGGAAAAGGTAGAAAAGTCACCATTATTCATAAACAATATAGGGTTTGTCTGATTAGAGTTAAAATATAAGGGATTCACGGATTAATTAGTTTTGGGACTTTTATGTGAAGGAGAAGCTGATTTTTTTTATGTTAATCAATGGTAAAAATCACTTTTTTAATTTTCTCTCATTTGCCACACTTATTAAAATCAGCTTTTTCCATAAGCTACTACAAGCTGGTTCTCATTTAATTGGAAAAATCCTTTTTTAAGATTCTGATTAATTTAAAAAGCTTAACAAATATACTTAAAACCACTCAATGATTTTTTAGTTTAAAGAAGTGTTTTCTCTCTCAACCAGTCTGTAACAAACGGCCTAATGATATGGAAAGTTTTCTACTTTACGGGTACTGATGGAACTGCATCCCCGCCATTCCACTCTCCTAAGTCCTAAATCTTTCTTCCAAATTGGAAGTCACTTTCCACCCACTTCTTAGCTTCACTTTCTATATAAGAGCTCAAATTCTCTGAAGATAGTTGATCAGAATCAACATTGTTCATATTTGGAATTCAATTTTCATTCTATTAACTTTATCAAGTTTGAGAGTGAGCTTTTGTTATAAATAGGAACATTGTGGCTGAGTTGCAAAGTAACACAGAAATTTTATCATAACTTTTTAAATGGCCATGTGGGAAGTTCACTATTCATTTTTCTCTGCATATGGACATGATGGTTTATGTTTGCAACAATATAGCATGGCCTAGATGGAAGCTATTATACTATCAATGTTTGTTGAGGTTAATGTTTTTGGTGTTTCAAAAAATATGAATTAAGCTTGGGGGTGTAGGTGCATGTTCTGCTACTATAGCAAATGAAACAGAAAATGCATTTGTTGAGCCTATTTTTTATTTGTGTGGCTCTTCCAGACCTTCTATATCTACTAGATTGGGAAGCACATCAAATGTTCTAAAGACCAGCCCTCATTCTCAACTTCACCAAATATCTTCGCCATTTAGTGTTGCCGAAGCTGCTGGAAGCAGGCCCATCATCTCCACTGCTCCTAAAAGAACAAGGTCACCTCCTCCATCATTTTCAGCCACTGAAACCCTTGAAGGAAACTTCGATGAGAACTCTGAACGGTAAGATATTTGGTGCAAATAGCACCGTTTCCATTGTCTGCGTATTTTATCTCAAATTCAAATTTTTATTGGATCCTTATTTTTTATTGTGTTGTCAGTGAAATGTTAGCCAAGGCAAAGCGTTCAGCTCGCTTCAAGGTAGAGTTAAGCAAATCCGAACATCATAATGATGACGTTGTAGGCCATACAACTTCAGTGTTGGAGAAGGAGAAGAAAGATATGGGAGAACATATGATGGATTCAGCAAGCAACATTACCAATGGCCATGGTGTTTCTGAAAATGAAGGGCAGGAAACATCCAATGTTATTATTGGTTTATGTCCAGATATGTGTCCTGGTATATCTGAGATTTTAAACATAAAGTGAACTTGTGAAATTGTATTTCCATCTGATCTATAATTCAAACTCTGCAATGATTTTTTCAAGAAGCTTTTGAAATTTGTTATTTGTTTTTGGGGTGGGAAAGTCTTGTTTGAGAGAAGTCCAATGTTAACAAGCATGCCAACTCGTTCTTGCAAAAAATCTTGCTATCTAAATTTCCCTTCTTTTTGTTGTCTGGTATTTCACACTCCTTAGGATAACTCTTCTACTGTATAGGAAGTGTAAGAATGTTCTAATTTCTTTTTTATTTGATTTGTATTTCAGAGTCAGAGAGGGGAGAGCGTGAAAGGAAAGGGGATCTTGATCAATATGAACGCGTGGGCGGGGACAGAAATGTAACGAGCAGACTTCTTGCAGTTAAGAAGGTGATTCTCATATTAATAATTCTTTGTTTATTCTGTGAAAGAACATTACTTTTAATATTTATAATATTCCGAATCATGATTCATGACAGTATACTAGGACAGCAGAGAGGGAAGCCAGCTTGATCCGGCCTATGCCCATCTTGAAGAAGACAATTGGTTATCTGCTAACTTTACTAGATCAACCTTATGATGAAAGGTTTCTTGGCATATACAACTTCTTGTGGGACAGGATGAGAGCTATTCGGATGGACCTGAGAATGCAACACATTTTCAATCAAGGAGCTATTACTATGTTGGAACAGATGGTTAGTCCTTGTAGCTGTGTCATTAGTATATCTTTGGAAATAGCTTGAGTTCAAAATCCGTCGGTCTCATAGAAACTTCTTACTAACGAGAATATGTAACTGCTGTTAGAAACCTAAATATGGAAATATCTAAACTCATACCTTTTGTGTTATTAAAGTCTTATAAGCAAAATAATAAAAAACTCAGCATTATGATATTATCACTTAGAGTAACTGGTTGGACTGGAGTATGGTCATATTCATCTTGTTGATGGTGAAGTTATGTTGTTTGAGTTCCCCACTATTTGTTGTACCTACCAATTGTCAACCAATCCCCTTATATGTGTTTGAACTTGGCATCTGTTGATTTTTGCTTTTTGAATTTTCCTTTTCTTTAGGTCATGTGTAATACTGTGGAGTTGCAGCCAATACCTGTTATTGGTAACTTTAACATGCAGCACTTATCAGATACTTTGACTGATAGAACCGACTGTTATATTATACTGGAAATGGGGAAGAATCCCTTTGATTACAACAATGGCAGCACATCAAGGATCTGCCTACCTCCCAATGCCATGAGGCCCTATTCCTCTCAAATTACAAGATGATGCCATCCTTAATCCTACTATCTATTGATAGGCAGCATGCCTTATTTGGCCTAACTAACTTTCAACAAAACTACTAAGTAACCATTAACTAATTAACTAACTAACTAACCAACTGTTTAACTAACAAGTAGAAACTTCTTGACTAGCAATAGTAGACCTATCATTGACTTTCCAGTTTGTTCAGCTAATTCTTGTATATTATCAACATCAACATATGTGCTAAATTAAGCACCAACCCTTTCAGTATAATAATGCATATAAAAGAAGATTATTGGCCTTGCTTTAGTGGTAATAGAAAGGTTTTCAGTAGTTTGATAAAAGCTATATGGGTTCAGACAGTCAAATACTAAATATATGTTGATGTCTTGGTAGAATAGCGTTATTGTATCTTTATCAATAACACACATCTTTTGTACAAAGCAGTGTCATATGATTATAAAGATTAATGAAGATGTTGAATTCCTTGATTTCAGATAAAATTACACATCATTGCAATGCATGAGTTATGTGAATACACTAAAGGAGAGGGATTTTCCGAGGGCTTTGATGCTCACCTCAATATTGAACAGATGAACAAAGCTTCAGTTGAATTGTTCCAATTGTATGATGATCACAGGAAGAAAGGAGTGTATATTCCCACAGAAAAAGAGTTTCGTGGCTATTATGCGCTTCTTAAACTGGATAAGCACCCTGGTTATAAAGTAAGTAGCCTTTGTAGTGTTTTGACCTTTTAATGTTTCATTTGCTATACAAAATCTATGGAAATGAGCAAGTTATGCTAGGTTGAACCTGCAGAGCTCTCCCTTGATCTTGCTAAGATGACTCCAAAGATAAGGCAGACACCAGAAGTTCTATTTGCCCGCAATGTAGCTAGGTTTGTGATATACATAAAAGTTGTCACCTTGTTATCATGGTTGTAGTCTAACCTTTCATTGTTTTTTATTTTACAGAGCTTGCAGAACGGGTAATTTTATTGCCTTCTTTCGGCTTGCAAGAAAAGCAACTTATCTTCAAGCATGTCTAATGCATGCTCACTTTGCAAAGGTATCAGATATTCTTTCTATTTTTTGTGCTCAACAAAGACACTATGATTGAAGTTTTTCATAAACAGCTTAGGCATGCCATGTATGGACTGAGCACGCGTTTACTCAATCATTAGAGGAAAGTTTAGGAAATTGCTAAAGTTTATCAGATGCAAACTAATTACACAATATGCAGTCCCTACTCAGTGATATAGACTTCTACTTTTCTTGCCTGATTTTCTTTAAAATATTTGTCTCAAAATCATAATTTTTAGAAGGATGGCTGAGTAAAGTAACATAATTTTATGTTGAATCTGCTATGCATCAGTCAAAATAAATGTCTAGACTTCACTTTAGTTATGGACCATGTTGTCAATTGCGGTCTGGGGCAGCACAGTCCTAGTTTTGGGGTCGACCTCTCCGCTCAACAATCCGGGATTGACAACATAGGTTGTGATTTGCTAATTATGTGACTGAGCTACAATGCTACATCTTATTTGAAAACCCAACCTTTATGTTGTGTCACCTTTATCAGTTGCGTACCCAAGCACTTGCTTCTCTACATTCTGGTGTACAGAATAACCAAGGTCTTCCTGTTGCTCATGTTGCTAATTGGCTTGCTATGGAGGTATATTTTATGGATAGATGTGGATTAGTGCTGCATCTATCTGTTTCCATTTTTGTGTTTTAGTAGGTTTTTAATCAACTTTGTCTTATACTGACCTTTGTCTATAATTAATTAGGATGAGGACATAGAGGGTCTTTTGGAATATCATGGGTTCTTGATAAAATCATTTGGAGAACCATACATGGTGAAGGAAGGCCTGTTTCTTAATGCTGATACGGAATACCCCACAAAGTGCTCCAAACTTGTGCACAAGAAAAGGTCTGGAAGGATTGTTGAGGATGTTTCACCCTCAATTCATGCTGAATTACTACCTGGCGAGATTATGAAAGAGATTCCGATGACGAAAACGTACAAGCATGAGCCCCAAACAGTTTCAGCTGCTAAAAACAATAGTTCTGTCCAGAAGCTCGATGAGGAAATTCCAGAATCTAAAGCCATTTACTCGCCAAAGGATAGTAAATCAGGAAAGGCATTTAAGGAAATGCGAAGTGTTCAGAGCAGTGTGAAAGATTATGATATGGCTAGGACTCATCCATCACCATTGAGCTTCCCCTTTAATAATATTATGCCTGAACCACAACAAACAAGAATCGACAGTTTGAAGATTGCCAATTCTTATATGGTTGCTGAAGGCTCACCAAGGAAAAACTCACCCTCTAATGTGGATATCAGGCCATTGGAGATTATACCAAAAACTGTTCCACCAGAAGAAGGTTCATTGGCTAATAATTTTTTTGTGCCACTTCCTGCGGTCCAGAGTGTATCCAAGGATGAGTCTCTGATTATTCACCAAGCGCATGAAGATGAAATTCATGAAGTTAGTGAAAGTTGTCATGATGAAGAAGTTTCTGAGGCCAGGCTGAAGTTGTTTTTAAGGTTTTCATGCTTTGTTCCATTACACAATTTAGGGCTTAGGCATATGAATTATTCATATGATCCCTATTTTTGCTATTTTAAAGCTGTTATACTTAATAATTCACTCTATTTTTCCTTGTCTGCTCTGTCAGGTTATGGAGGAGACGAGTGTCAAAATTAAGAATGTTACGAGAAGAGAGGCAATTAGCATCAAATGCTGCACTGAATTCATTACCATTGGGCCCCCCAATTCGACATTGTATAGAAGTAAGTTTGGCAGTTATGTGAATTTTCGTTGAAGTATAACTCATCCATAACCTGACAGAGCTTTATTTCAATCTCCTGAATTCTTTACTAGGGGATTGAAATAAAGATGATTGCTTCTAATGGAGCTTCCTTTCTCTCATAATATGGATTGGGCCTAACTCATCCCTACAAAATCGGCTTGTAGGATGAGGATTGCCCCCACTTATTAACACAACACGTCCATATCTCTAAGCAACGTGGGACTAAATCACCCATTTAAACCCAACATTATGATGGCAAGCCAAATGCCGCAATTAAGGCGACTGGGGACAGACTGCAATTAAGGCGGAAATTCCAATACACTCCCTCACGCTTGGGTCTCATAATGAGAGCCAGCACTTGCAGGTGACAAATGCAAGTACCCCATCCTTGATATTTATTAGTCAGCTTCACATCCTCAACTTTACCCTGTCTGCTTGAAAACTTCATTGGGGTTTGGGGACTTTATCCTGTCTTTCTCCTCCCATTGCAAACGACCAAGAAAGTACCTGAGCTGTTTCACTTCTGAGTGGAAGATGCTTGAGCCACAAACACCTTGAAGTCTTGGACATATTCCTCCTTATAGCTTAGCCACAAACACCTTGAAGTCTTGGACAAACTCCTCTTCATAGTTTGTTTATGTGGTAGATAATCACTCATTTAACTCTGTTCGCTGGTCACACACTTATTCCGTCAACACCATCCATGCTTTCAATTTGCAACTCCATGCTTTCAATTTGCAACTCCATGCTTGCTAACAATGGCTTCTGCAGGTTGGACTATTTGTTAATAATTCAGAAAACTAGCAACAGAAAGTGATAGAAAGAATAATAAAACTGAACTACCAAATCATGCCTTATTCTGAGAATGAAATGGAGAATATAATCTTGAAAGTTTTCCTTTCATGCAAAAGCTATCAAATCACTAACGTCCCTCCACATTTTAATTTCCCCTATGTATTCCATTTAATCTCTTCTAACTAACTAAATAATACTAACCGACTAAAAGGACAGCTTCCATTGTTCTTCCCTAATGGTACTCCCTAACAAAGTCATTTTGTTTTTTAATAAGGTGTTTTAGCTAATGACCTGCTCATCACTTCCAAATTCTGATCAATCCAAAAATTGTTACTGAATCAGTGAAACATATTTAACATGAATATCATTTACCAATTTTGATTTGCTGTATTAAGAAGTTTTTATGCCTAGCTACTGTTGATTGATTTATTTATTTATTTTGTGGATCTCTTTTTTGATGCAGAAACCTGGTAACTTTGAGAAGTTTGACATTGATGTAACGATGAGGGAGAGATATGAAACACAGGAAAACTCACAGTCAAGACTTAATGTTTCTGACGTAGTTGGAGATACAATAGCCAGTAGAAATCCAGATGCTAAATGCTTGTGCTGGAAAATTGTTCTATGCTCTCAGAAGAGCAGTGCATATGAAATGGGAAAAGCAGGTTTGTGGTTAACCTCAAAGGTCATGCCTTCCAGCGATGATGATGTGGTGATTTCATCTCCTGGCTTGGTAATATGGAGGAAATGGATTCCAAGTCAATCTGACATTGAACCTACATGCTGCTTCTCTGTCATTAGAGATACAGCAGTTGGTAATCAAGATGAGGTAGTATCAGGGGCAAATGGAATTTTGTTTCTAGTATCTGAGAGCATCTCATGGAAACAACAGAGAGTTAATCTCCATAATCTTTTGATGTCGATTTCCTCTTGTGCTTGTTTGCCTCTTCTCATCCTATGCAGTAGTGGCTCATACGACGAAAGGTCCTCTTCTGTCATAATCAATGAGCTGGGCCTTCAAGACATTGATAACTTAGGGGTCAGTAGCTTTCTTGTTGTTTTCCTCAGGGAAAACCAGCAGATGAAACACTTGGATGGATTTTTCAGTGATACCCGTTTAAGAGAAGGTCTGCAATGGCTGGCAGGTGAATCACCTTCACAACCCAACCTCCACCGTGTGAAAATAAGAGAACTTGTTCACACACACATTAGTTCCTTTTCAGGGGTGCAGGACATCATTAGTAACTCCAAGTTGGGCCCTAATGACTGCATCTCATTGTTCAATAAAGCCTTGGATTATTCGATGCAGGAGATTATTGCTGCTGCCAATTCAAATCCCCCCGGTTGGCCATGTCCAGAGATTGGTTTACTTGACAAGTCTTTTGATGATCATAGAGTAGTAAAAAGTTATTTGCCAACTTTGGGGTGGAGTTCAAATGAGAAAACTCAACCAATCATCTATGCTTTGCAAAACTGTAAGCTCCCTACTTTTACCGATGATTTATCCTGGTTGGCCAGAGGTTCGAAAATTGGGCAGGAGATCGAGAATCAGAGAATACAGCTTGAGAATTGCTTGATCCAGTACCTGATTCATACTAGTAATATGATGGGGATTCCGTTGGCAGCAAAAGAGGCACGTGTCATAACTCAAACATGTGCTAAACTTGAGCTGTGCGGTTCAAACTACCATGTAGTTCCGCATTGGAGTTTGATTTTTCGTCGAATTTTTAACTGGCGATTGACGGGCTTATCTAGTAGGGAAATTTCCACGGCTTACATCTCAGAACACCATCTTAATGTTGCTCTTCAAAATGTGGGCTTTGCAGCATGTTTATCCTCTTACTATCCAGATTCTACATCTTTAGATGAAATGATCAGTGTTATCTGCAACTCTCCTCTATCGGCTAATGACAGGAGGCATAGGCCCGAAGCAATTCAACGTCTTCCACATATGAATTTTGATGACGAGACTTCTAACTTGAGGGATGCTGAAAGAAATCTTCGACCTGAGGAGTTACCTAACATTAATACAGGTCGCACATATGGTATAAACAATGCTAAAAGTGAAACGTTATCGAGTAAGAAACCAACCAAAGAAGCTGACAAGTTGAGCAAGCTATTGGAGCAATGTAACTTGCTGCAGGATGGCATTGATAAGAAGCTATCTGTATACTTCTGATGGGCACATACATACCTTTTTTTTTGTTGTATGTATCTTTGACTAAAGTAATATTGAATATAATTTTGGTTTACATGAAGTTTTGTATACTAAGTTGTAACTCCATTGTCTTATTATAAAACATTTCCTTAAAAAATAGTTAGTTTTGTTAAATTTTATAGTAAAATGATGCCTTAAAAGACTAAATACTATTATGAAAAGTAAGATATCACATAAAAAAGTTTATGAAATTAAAAATAAAAAAAAGACTTAATACCCTTTTTGGTCCCTTACCTCTATATCTGGGTCTATTTTTGCCCTCTATTTAAAATTGACCATTTAAAAAGTGTCACGTTTGTCCTTTCTATTAGAAATGTTAGGCAAAATTCAATCTCATTGACAAATGGTGCTGACGTGTTAATACACTGTTGAGGTGGACGGAACAAAGTAGAAAACTCTTAAGTCTTTGGAAATTCACATTTCAATTCCTTTCTAACACATTTCAGAAAACCCTAGCAGAGATATGTAGAGTGAAAACTTGTGTTTGGAGGCGACAAAGAAGAAGGCGAACGATTGAGTGAAGGAAATGTTCAAGACGAAGGATCAAGAATGTTTGAAAGTTGAAGAGAACGAAATAAAGAGTTTTTGTGAAAGCGTGATTTGGAGATTCACTGAAGACGAAGCTTAAGTCGAATGTTGCATCTTTTATAACGTTTCAATTTTAGGGGTTAGTTTTTGTAGAATGTGTTTGTCATGCTAGGTATTTCTAATTTAGGGTTATCGTCTTCTATGATTATGCTGTTAGTAATGTTAGGTATTTCGATTTTAAGATTAGCTGTTTTTTAGGGTTAGGGTCATCTACGATTCTGATGTTTTTGCCCCTTTTGATAAGTTGATGTTTTTGTTTGACTTAGGTAGCAATGGATGAGTATTTGTGTCTGAATATTTATCATAGTGGTGAGTTTATAGATAGTGAAAAATTCTATATGAAGAGGGAAAATGCAATGAACTAAAAATAGATGTGGATAAGTGGAACTACTTTGAGTTGGTTGGTATACTGAAAGATTTAGGTTATACTGAGGTAGATACCATCTACTATAATAACCCCACTTTTGAGATGTTGGTGTTGAATGATGACAAAGGTGCTTTAGAGATAACTGGGCTCTGTAGGGTTCACTTGAGTGTTGATGTCTATATAGAACATCATCTATTCCAATCAGAGTATGTCTTTTAGATCAAGATATAAATATGGATGAGGAAGATATAATTCTTGAGGACAATGCTGTAGAAGATATGCTTGCAAAGCTTTATGAAGAAGTCATTAAGGATGATGAGCAAGCTGGCCAGGGTCCTATTGAAGGTGATGTAGATATGAATAATGGTGTTGAGGGTCTCAATGATGAAGGTGAAGGTCTAAATGTTGGTATTGAGGCTCTTAATGATGAAGGCGAGGGTCCGAATGTTGGTACTGAGGCTATTAATGATGAAGGTGAGGGTTTGAATTTTGGTACTGAGGCTCTTAATGATGAAAGCGATGTGTATAATGGAAAAAATACTAGTAATGTATTGTTGAATGTTGACACAAGCTCTGATGATAATGAAGATGAGTTATAATTATGATAGTCCTTGAAAGTTATTTTTGATGATTCTGATCTGAGTGAAGATTATGATAAAGAACCAATAGACAATCTACTTGAATATGAGGGAAATCAGAAGAGAAATAGCAAAAAGAAGAAACATAAATGGGAAGATGACAATGAAGAGGAGATGGGGAGTGCAAATGATATTCAGGAGTTAGAAAGTGAATGTGAAAGTGATGGGAGTGATAGGGGGACATTCAAGAAGAAGTATCCAATATTCAAGTTATTGAAAGATATGCCAAATTACAAATGGGAGTTGTGAACTTTTTCCACTTCAAGAAGTGACTTCAAGGAAGCAATACAAACATATTTTGTCCAATCAGGGAGAAACTTAAAGTTTAGTAAAAATGACAAACAAAATGTTAGGGTGGTATGTAAGAAAGTCTGTAAGTGGGAAGCATATTGTGGCAAGTTGCCAAATGAGGAGATTTGGAAACTTAGAAAACTAACTGATATCCATAATTCCAGTAGAGAATACAATGTGAAAATGATGAGTACCAAATGACTGAGTAAGAGGATAAAAAATTCACTAAAAAACAATTCAAGTATGAATATAAGGAATATAAATGAAAAGGCTCAAAGGAAATGGAAAAAATTCAAAGGAAATGCCAAATCAACTTATCCACGGGCATGGGAAAGGGATATGAAAAAAATGAGAGAGGTCAATGAGGATGCTTTCAAGCACATGATGCAAACACCACCCATATTTTTGACGCAGTCGGAAGTTCTAGAAAATAATAAGCACTAAACCTAGAATAAAAATAGGGTTGCAAGCGTAAACTTAGAATAAAAGACAGAGTTGCAAGCGCAAAACCTATCAGATAAGCTCTGGAGTCCACCAGGAATAATGAAAACTTTAAACTTTATTATATGAAAACCCTTATGACCACGCCAAAGCTCTTTAAATATATAAAATAAAATAACCCTAATGAGCCTTGTGGGCATTTAATCCAAAATGGAATTAAATAAAATAGAAATCGCTTAAATACTAAAATAGAAAATTACTTAAATATTAAAATGCTTTTCGACACGCGATATCTTCTTCGATACGCGTAATCAGTCTTCCTACATCAGTCTCTTTCACCTCTGAAGAACTTGATCCCGAGTTCTCTTCTTGATAAAGAGCCTTATATGCTTGATATTCATGAATGTCAGCAACGTTAAAGGTATTTGATATATTCATGGCATTCGGGAGAGCTACCACATAAGCATTATCATTGATCTTTTGGGTCACTTTGAACGATCCATATTTGCGTGGCTGCAACTTACTATAAGTACCAACCGAAAACCTCTATTTTCACAAAAATACCATGACATTGTCTCCTACATTGAAAACTTTGAGTCTCATGCGTTTGTCAGCAGTTGCTTTATTCTTCTGCCAAGTGCCTCTAACTTAGCCTTGACATCCTCTTTAACAACTACCATTTTCTCAATCATATTCTCAGCAGCCGCACTAACTCCAGGCGCTTTAGGAAATTTAACCAAATCAACCACATGCTTAGGAATAGAAGTATATACTAGAGAGAATGGTGATTTCCCTGTAGCTGAATGCACATCGCTGTTTTAAGAAAATTTAACCTGAGGCAAAACTAAATCCCACTGTTTCAGCTTGTCACCGCAACCACTTCGAATCATATTTCCCAAAGTTATGTTGGTTACGTCAGTTTTTTAATCTGTTTGAGGATGAGCTATAGAACTCCTCTTTAGCGTAGTTTCAAACAATCTCCAAAGAATAATTCAGAAATGACCGATAAATCTGGTGTCCCTGTCTGAATTAATTGACTTAGGAACCTCGTGAAGATGCACAACCTCCCTGAATAACAGTTTGGCTATGTTGGACGCATCAACAATCTTCTTACAAGAAATGAAGTGGGTCATCTTGGAGAATCTGTCTGCTACAACGAGCTCATAATCTACACCTCTCTGGGTACGAGGCAAGTCCAACACAAAATCCATGGCTAAATCTTGCCAAATATCATCAGGAATGGGTAAAGGCATATAAAGACAAGTATTTTGAGACTGACCCTTAAAAACCTGACAAGTATAACACCTCCTGACTATATTACCAGTGCCCCTCTTCAATTGTGGCCAATAATATATCTCCTCCTGACTAGCAATGGTCTTGTCTCTATCCAGATGGCCGCTAAGATTTCCACCATGCAGATATCAAATTAGCTTCTCTCTTAAAGAGGAGCAAATGATGCATAGTTGACCCCCTTTAAAAATATAGCCATTTCGAATTTGAAAATCTGCACAAGGATGATTTCCATTGAACTTGGCCCATAACTCCTTGAACTCAACATCACTTTCATACAACTCTTTCAGGCACTCAAAACCTACTATCTCCTGTGCTAAGGTGATTAGAAAGGTAGCTCTCCTACTCAATGTATCTGCTACCTTGTTAATAGTCCCCGACTTATGTTGAACAATAAAAGGACATTTATGTAGAAAACTCATCCGCCGAGCATGCATCTTGTTTATCACCTTATGGCTATGAAGAAACTTCAAAGCTTGATGGTTAGTGAATAGAATGAACTCCGTTTGAACTAAATAACATTCCCACTGGTGCAGAGCTCTAAAAGATGCATAGAATTCCTGATCATAAGTACTCCATTTCAGATGAGCATCGCTTAATTTTTCACTGAAAAAAGCTACAAGTTTCTTCTCCTGATATAACACAGCTTCTATTCCCACTCCACCAACATCACATTCAACTTGGAACACCTTGTCAAAATCGGGAAGTGATAATACCGGTGTGGTACATAGCTTCTCCTTAATCAGTGCAAAACTTTGCTCTTACTCAAACCCCTAATTGAACTTCCCTTTCTTCAAACATTTAGTAATAGGTGTAGTGATAGTACTAAAATCTTTGATAAACCGCCTATGGAAGGTGGCCAGACCACGAAATCTACGAACCTCAGTCACAAATTTAGGTGCAGGCAATTCCCTTATAGCACTCACATTATCTTCATCAACTTGAATCCATTCTTCACCAACAACAAAGTCGAGAAAAAGTAACTTGTTGGTGTTGAATGTACATTTTTTCAGATTAATGTAAAACTGATTCTCCTGTAATAATTGCAACACTTGCCTCGCATGATGCAAATGCTCTTTCTTTGTCTTATTGTAAATTAGAATATCATCAAAATAAACCACCACAAAAGAACCCGTAAACAAATGCAAAACCTGATTCATGAACCACATGAAGGTGCTAGGGTGTTTGACAAACAAAAGGGCATCACCAACCACTCATAAAATCCATCTTTGCTCTTGAAATCTGTTTTCCATTCATCTCTAGGTCTGATTCTGACTTGATGATAGCCACCATGCAAATCTATCTTCGAGAATACCTTAGAACCGGCCAACTTGTCAAGCATGTCT